TCCATAATCGTCATACGGAAAAAGACCAGATTATAACCCTATTCAAGCTAAAAAAGAACAGTTAAAATTAGTGCTCTATCAAATTCCTAGAAAAGTAATATTTATTTCTAATATGTGAACTGCATCAAATGGTGCTGCATTCCTAAGTTTAACAATTTATTATATTAATTCTTTATAAAAACTAAATAGTTTCCTTCTGGTTAATATTTTTTAATCAATTACGTAAAGTGTGGTCTAAAGATCACTTTTTATAATACTTCACACAATTTTAGAGGTTTAGAATGTAAAGTATTCTGGATACTAAGGGTGGATTAGTTGTATTTGAAAATATAAAATATCTGTATACTAAAGAAGGAGTAATTGTTGTAAAGTATCCTGGTATTTTAGACCACACTATATTTTAGTCAATATACTATATAATTACATTTCTAGTTGCTACTAATTGATTAATCGATTAGTTGTCAACTAATTAACTAATTAATTTTGTTAATTTTAAATTCGTAATACTATATACAGGCTTTAATATAGCTAATACTATAATGAAAGTTCTTCACAAATTTGATTTAGCAAAAAGAATTTTAGCTTTCACTACTGACAATGCATTATCAATGAATTTCTATAGAGAGCTAATAATAGAAGAACTCAAACAAGAATTTGATAACTCTGAGTTCTTATATTACAGATGCATAGCTTATATTCTAAATTTTGTAGTTAATTGGAGATTTGCATATGTAGACAAATTAATTGTGAAAGTAAGAACATTAATGTCATTTATTAAGTCATCAAAACTAACAAACAATGCTCTAAAAGGCTTTGTAATATGAAAGATATTACTTACCTTGTATCTGAACTTGATATCAAGACCCAGTAAAATTCCACTTACTATATGTTTAGGAAATTAAAAAAATTAGAACCTGTATTAAATTTGCTTGCAGCTGATGACCAAACAGTTAAAGAAAAGTATTTAGATATAGAAGATTTTGTTAGCATTAATGTAAATAAATTTTTTTTCTTTAATTAATTATTATTTTTTTTCTTTATTATTATTTTTTTTTTAAAAAAACAAAGGATACACTTATTCTTCTTGAACCAATAGAACATGCTACTCATTTTCTATCTGTCTCAAGCCATTCTACACATGGTGACATCTGATTTGTTATTTTTAGCATTCAAAAACACTTAATGCGATATAAAACTGATTATACTTTCTCAAAAGTTAATATAGCAGATACAATATACCAAAAATTAGAATGCTACTAGTCAATACTTGATAAATCTTCTTGAATCTCGGTATTTCTTGATCCACAGATAAAAATGTCTGCATTCAGAACTGAGAATGAAAAAATTAAGTAATTAATTTGATTTCTGGATTAAATGAATATTTACTTAAAACACAGCAAACCATTTTTACTAATTACTCAAACAATAATAGAGATTATTTTCATAACTTATGTTCTGTTAATACATCTTTTCCTTTTACTTATAATTAATATTCTATGAATTGCATCCATGAGGAAATCAAAAAATATCTTAAAATATCTTTATTTAGTCATATCGATTCTTAATGTTGGTAGCAAATGCAGCATTCTGAATTTCTAATCTTAAGCACCATCACATGTGACTATCTATCAATTCAAGCAACAAGCATTGCCTCAGAGCAGGCTTTCTCAATTACTGAAAAAACTATTATAGAAGAAAGAAATAGGTTAGATGAAGAGACAACAAGATCACTCATTTGTTTAAAAAGCTGGATCCGTAATGAGATCTGCTAAAATAAACTCAAAAAAAAAAGCAATATTAGTTGTATTATGCATTATTATTTTGTTGATTTGCTTTTACTTTGAGACAATTAACATTTAAGATTCATTTTCAAAAAATAAAACAAGTATATGAAAAGTTTTTTATTAAAAAATTCTATTATTACAATACAACAAATTTTTTTAAATAAAATACAATGTATATAGTAAACACAAAAAATAAGAATAATCACGAAGTATAGTAATCATAGTACAAGCGAAGATTTTTTTTTTTAAGATTTGATTGTCGATTGATATAAATAGAACGATCTTATTGGTTTCTAATCACGTGACATAGCACAAATTTTGTACGGTTTATGGACTGGGACCGGACTAAAAGAAGATAATGGACCGGTCCTATTATGGACCGGACGGACTGGACCGGACTGATCCATCCCTAACTCCCTACCAATCATGATCATAAATTGTCGGATAACACCATTATTTGGCAAATTTTGGAATAACGGTAATTTGGCTCAACCGATTGGCTGACACGTGCCGCTTCTCGGCAAGTGTCATTTGCCCGGTTGAACCAAAAAATTTTGTCGAATAATGTATACATCATTATTATCATTATGTCATTATTGTCATTATCATCATTATTGTCATCATTATCATCATTATCATTGTATAATACATCAAAATAACGATCAGAAATTCGAATTATTAGGTACTATAATTGTTTTTTTGGCATTAAAACGGTTACAAAATCTATTTTTATCTTGCTGCTTACTACCATTTGCCAACTAATTTACTATCTAGTTAATTAGTCGTTAGCGTTGGTTGAAAAATAACTGGTTTACTGATCGATTTGGAAGTACAATCCCGAGATAGTCTCTAGTCTGTGTTGATTTTTTCGGTTTAATTGGTTAATCGTCTGATTTGTCGCGTGATATGAATATTAAATTATTAAGCTGCAGTCATCATAAGTTGTCGGGTATATCAAGTTTATCAAATTTAAGATTAGTTTAAGGGCCGATTTCCAAAGAATTCAATTCTTAGCTGATCAAAGAATTTCTTAGCTGATCATAAAATGAAGATCAAAGAATTCAAACGGCACAGACAGATAACTTGTACAGAAGTACGATGTAATTAAATAAAACAAGTGGCTTTAGGAGATAAAAACAAAATAGGCTTCGTAGTATAGTGTTAAGAATTTGCGGACTAACTATGTTATGTATATATCAGACATTAATTTGGAAATATTCCGATAAGATTTACTAACAGCAGAGACAGTCCCGATCCAGAGTGAATCCCTCTCTCTTGTAATCAATGACAAATTAAATTATTTATGTTGGATTCAATTGTGATGGATATAATCCCTCAACAGTTTTAACATATGGTCTCTGCTGTTGATTTACTAATCAGGATAATCTGACATTAATTTAGATATATTAAAATTTTTCTTATCTCTGTTAGTATATAGTCGATTTTTTTTTTGAAATTTATATCCTTTATTAAGAAATTAAATGTTAATAGTCGGTAATATTCACAAACATCACACAATAAAAATAGGTAATCTGAATTCCCAATCAATAAACTTTAACTCATTTGGGAATTTCGGATTTGTTTAAGCTTTTTATGTCAATTAAACATTTATCATCGAGTGTTGAATAGTGATCATGCACATAAGACGCGGTTCTTCATGATTTTCAAAAGAAACGGGTCATCCCTTCAGGGTCTCCACAGCTTTTATATAGCCAGGTTTAAAAACAAAGAAAATTTTTATAATTCTCTTATTCATCGAAGATAAAATTATAAATATATTTTTTAATAATAATTTCAACAATAATGATTAGTATTTTCTCGTTATTAGCAAATTCAACGATTATGCTTAATATTTACGCGTTATTCGTAAATAACGATCCACCTCCTTCCCAAATTTCAAATGTTGATGATTTAAAATTCGTGAAGAATGTTTCCTCTTTATTTACAAATTCAATTTTATTAATGAATAATTTTTCCACGTTATTCTCAAATTCAATTTTAATGAATAATTTTCCCTCTTTATCCACAAACTCAATGTTATATAACCTTCCTCAAAATTCTGATATCTTTTTAATCTTATTTGTAGCTTATATTTTTCGTTTTTATTTTATTTACTTTATCGTCCGAATCCTATCCCTGGTCCATTACCATTACCAATTATTGGAAACTTATTCCAAATAGGTTTTTGTTTACTTACATCAGTTAAAAAATTTCAATCGAAATATGGTGACATCTTTGAACTTTACATGTTTTCTGAGCGTAATATTTGGTTATGTAATCCTTCATCAGTTGAAAAACTTTTACAAATTCTACAAAATCAAAATTCTTTTGTAGAGCTTTATCTACTAATGGATTTAAAGAATTAGGAATGGATAAAGTTGGAATTGTTTTTAATAGAGATTTCGAAAGTTGGAAATATAATCGTAAAATTTTAAATTATACTCTTACAAATGTTAAAGTTTTAAAAGGATATATGAATGCTGTTAAAATTTTATTTGTAGAAATTGAAGGTTATTGGAACGATTTAAAATTTGAAAATAATGAGTATAAAGAAACTGACGAATTTATGATTGATTTTAGTCAGTGGATGAGAAGGTTTATAGCCGATCTTGCTTTAAATATGAACTTTGGTGATCACGCATTTAGCATGGCTGGTTATTATAATTTTCTTTGCAAAAATAAAAAACAACAAACTTTTGAAATTATTGAATCTGAAAAAATTCATTAATAGTCTCGTGACCTGGGTAAACATAGTACGTTTTTTAATTCTTTTTTTATAACCTTGCTAAATTATTTAATTTCGTTACTAATAACTTATATATATATATATATATTAGTGATATTCATGACGTTTTGTCCTTCGAATTTCATTCGTCATTACATCCCTCCATTATCTCTTTTTCAACTAAGATTCCAATCAAATTATAATTGGTTGACCGATGAATTTTCTAGAATCATTCAAAAACGTACGCAAGAAATTGAAAATGTGCCGTTGGATAAACTCAATACACACGACGTTTTAGATACTGTACATTATTAATCATTAACAAAGCTCAAGAATTAAAAGGTAATAATGAAAAGGCCATAAAACCAATGGATGAGAGGGAGATTTTTGGTGTTTTACTCGAATTTTTTGTTGCTGGTGTTGAAACGGTATGCCACAAAAAGTGCAACATGAAAACTATAGTTTATCTTTATTTTATTTTTTTTTTAACAAAAATATTAATAAAAATTTATCATTATTTAGGTTTTAAGTCTTACATGCTTCATTGTTTATTACGTATGCAGCATCCTTCAGTAAAACAAAAACTTATTCAAGAACTTGATTCCGTATTTCCTACTACATTACCATCAAGTGAAATCGCCTATGAAAAACTTATGAATAATCTCCCTTATTGTAATTGTTAAAGAAACGAGTCGTTTAAAAACAAATCCTCCAATTAATCCTCGTGAACTTTACGAACAAGACGAAATTGGTGGATATACAATTCCAAAGGGTGCTACGGTAATTGCGTGTGTAGATGCCATTCATTTACATAAAGATTATTGGGAAAATCCTACAGAATTTATTCCAGAAAGATTTTTATCCGATGATTATCCATTATCCATGTCTCAAAAATTATTAACCTTTGGTGGTGGATTAAGAGGTTGTGTTGGTAAACAATTGGCAATGGTTGAAATTAAAACTATTTTGGTTTTATTATTTAGAAAGTATGTATTGAACTGGTAAATGAAAATGTGGATGCAAAAGATAAAACTTATCTTCTTAATAGTTGTAGTCAATTGAAGATTAGGCTTAAGCCCAGAATGGTGGTTTAAGTCTGAAAGGTTTATTTTATCATTATTGTGTAATTATTATTTTTATTGCTTTATTGTTACTATATATCTTGTAATATATGTTTAAATAAAAAAAAACAATTTAATACTTTGACATTGTTTCGTTTTTGTCTTGGAGCAAAGTGGAGGGTTTGTGCACATACATACGGTGTAACTAGTGATGTGCCATTTATATGATACCTGAATTTTTTTTACAGTAGTATAGCAGATAGTGTGTATAACATAAGCAATATGCATAATACACATAGCATTTATAAATCCGTTATATGTAACATTGTGCAATGAATAATTTTTGTTAGAGTGCGAAATTCAGTTTCATAGTCAAAATTTTGAGATAGAGATACTTTTGTGATTTGTTCTAGAATATCCTAAAAAAATTTTTCGTACTCTAGGTAGAACTTATCCGAAACAGCGCCACAATCGGTCGATAAAAATTTAAAAGGGATATTACTACGTATTCGCATTGATTTTCTTATATTTAATTTTGCTATACAATAAATACTTGTATTATTAGTATAATTATAAAAAAAAATAAAAATTAGAATTTATTTATTTATTTTAATTAAACCGAAAAATTAAAGTTCGTTTATTTCCATTTTTGTTAAAAAATAAAATTTCATTTATTTAATTAAATTAAATTTTATAATTTAAAAATTAGAGAACCTCTATTTGTATACTATATATTATATAAAACGTAAGTATATAATAAAAAAAAAATTATATATAATTTTAATATAACCGTACATACTTGAATTCAAATCTTAAATATTAATTCTAAATTTAATTTTGTTTAATTTTATATTATATAAATTTACAAATCACTATTGTTAATTGATAATATAAATGAAGAGAGAGAGAGAGAGAGAGAGAGAGAGAGAGAGAGAGAATATTTTGGTTCGAAGACAATGGTCCCTTGAAATCATGTGAGCGTAATAAATTCGCCTGTCAATTTTGCTGTACATATTGTTACGGGGTGAATCGTAGGTTTATTTAATTAAAATGTGCAAATATAGATTTATTACAGGATAAGGCATTCGCCAGAGGCG